AAGAGTATGCGGTTTATGTGTCCAGATCCGAGTTATGAGGCTTATTTTCTTGTTGCTTGTTGTGCCCTGGTCATCGAAAGGCGGTTGTGTTTGGGAAGGAAATTCGGAGTTGAATTGGTGGGATATGGCGGGGCTCTGTAGATAACGTCACACAGAAAAGGTTATCAGTGAGTTGGATGACTGACTTTTTTTTTGCACCAAACCCCGCCACGCAAGGGTACTGGGCCCGTTCTCAGGGTGTGAGTGACCTTGAGGCGAGATGCAGTAAATTACCGGTCGAAGCATTACTAATTATCCACTCAGCCTCATGTGTTATTTTTGTCACCCAAAACAGTCGTCCCCATTTCTCTTGCCTGCCTTAGCCCGCCTATTGCGGCTGGGCCATTGGCCACCACCATGTGGAGTTAGTCCACTCTCTAGTCCCAGACTGGCAAGCAGCGTGGTGTTAAAGAGGACTTGGCGTACGGACTAAATGTGGCGTCTGTTAGAGACAGTTAGCTAGGGGCGCATCATCGCCTCTCTCGTGAGGCTGACCAAACAGCTCCTGAGAGCGCAGACTCCCCTCAGATTAGACGGCATCTTCCTCGACCGGCATAACCTACTCAGCTTCATAGAACCAACTTGTATTATCAACTTTGTGTAAAATATCGGCGCACACTATTTCAACACCTCTCCTCATGCAATACTTCTCCAAATCTTGACATTTCTTTATCAAATCCCCCACCTCTTACGTCTCCTCCAGGTGCCCATCGAGGCGCGACCCCATCCTCCCATGTCATGACGCCCGATGCTGTTCGTCCCCGGGACAATTCCATCGAACTCACGGCAGACCTAGATCTTCTCGCCGGGCTATGGCAAGAAGCGCCATTTGCACGTCTGCCGCCCGACGCGCCCCCTGACCTCAAGACCTATGTTCAGAACGTTGAGAACCCAGCGCGAGTCTATGCGATCCATCAAGCGAGTCGCCGCCATGGTTTTCAACTTCTGGTGGAAAGGTTCGTCTGATAACTATATCCATTCACTTACCATGCTTCATGTTCTGATTATCAAAGCAGATACATCTTGCAACTTCGATCAGGTTGTGAAAATGTCAATTGCGCAACTCCCACTTGCTTCACATGCAGGCGCCGCTTGGCAGGCCGAGCGCCCGTCCGAAGATATAACACAACAAGTGCCAGGACGTTGGCGATATATTTAGCAAGTCAGGACGACCCGGAGAAAGGATTATGTCCGTTCCTCCGTAAATCTCGCGAACCGCCGGCGGCTTTTGGCAACTTAATATTCTCTGCGCGGTCATCCTCGTCTTCCCATCCCGACCATAACAGAGCCAGCGTTGCCACCTCGCCAAGTGCACGCAAGGAACGGAACTCTAGACCACGATCACTCTCGTCATCATCCCAAGATGCCCTTGCTTCCCCAATAAACGATCCAGGCGACCCGACCTCTCCAATCCAGAATGCACGTAGACCAGCCGCAGCATGCACACCACATTCGAAAGACCGCGATTTGGCCACTCAGATTCGTGTGATCGAGGCGCCCATGAGTAAAGATCACCGCTCATTTGCCGCGAATCTCTTTGGGACTGTCACTTTTAAGATGCTCGAATGGTTGACACCGCGGAGTGTCGCTGCAATGGCGACCAAAATCAATAATCTCGATTCAGCGATGGATTTTGACCTTACCCAAGACCCAGCTAACTCAGCTGGAACCACCGCAGGTTCGGATGTTCAGAGTACTGCTCCTGACGAGTCAGATACAACAGCTTCGACGACCGTAGCTGTACAACCACATGCAACTGATATGAATGAGACTTCATTCATGCCAAAACCGCCAAAACCCAGTAACGGGTCACTGTCAAAGCCACGAAAGAATTCTGCGCCAAAGCACAGGCGACGTTCTACTGACTCCAACAATACCGCCAAGTCTGGGGATAAAGTAAAGTCAGCCAAACCGTCTCAGGTAAACGGCACATTGCACGAGAAATCTGTACGACCTAGACACAGTAAGAGTTTGTCTGGAAGGGGCATCCCAGAAATGCCTTTGAAACCAGGATTTTTCGAAAATGTTACAAAACCATCGGCGCAGCCAATTTCGCCTACAAGCCCATCAACTTTGGCACATGTTGAGCCTTTTGGCGAAATCAGGTCCAAAGACGATGCAAATTGTGGCCATCCCAGAACTAATAACTCTCAACGGACGGGAAACCTTGACAAAGCACTACCGGACATCTCATCCCATAGTCTGGAAAATATCCTGCCTCAAGCTCTCTCACAGCTCGATGTCAATCTTGTTGACTTCATTTGTGACATTTATGAAGAAGACGGAACAGCACAGTCTGTTATACTCTCCACCTCTGACGCAACTCATCCATACCCACGACCCATGAACCAGCGGAAGCCTCTACAACGTCGATCTATGTCGCGCACAGCTAGGTCTAGAAAGCAGTGGCAACGTTTCAATGACCAGACGCTTTTCAACGTTCTCATGGATCCGCAAGTTGTTGTTCAATCCTTCACTCACGACAGAAAACTCTACGATTCTCAGACACTATGGTACTGTTTTCATCGATTAAGCCGCGTCGCATGTAATCTTGTATTTCACAGTCTCTGGCTGGCTGCCGGACGTTTGTTCGTTCCTCCTCAAGATTCGAGGTCGCATAGTTCTATCAAGGACAATGACTCAAGATTACGGAAGCACAAGGGGTCTCTATCCGATGTTGACGCCGGTTATCTGATGTCGATCTGCATGCATGCATTGGTAGCCGCAGCTCCAGCTGTCCAAGACTCGAGAACACTATATGAGATGTCCCGCGTCCGCTCAAATGGTCTGACCCTCACCGGCCGAAGCGCCATGGCTCGGCAATCTTCGTCTCGATGTTTAAATTATGATGATGCATTCTCAAACGACTTGGCTATCAGACTTGCGCGTAGGCTATTTTGTGCCATTACAGCCAGACGGCACTTCTCTAATAAGATGGACACTGCTGGCCCCTTGAATGAGATCGAAAACACCAAGGTTGATATTTTGCAACCTTTAGTTGACCAGCTCGATTTTCTCAGTACAGGCTCAGCGACTATTCTGGAGTTCCCACAATCAGAGCGTCTCTTGCATGAGACCCGCGTGCCAACAGTTCTCCTAGACTGGGCACGCACCATATTGCTCAACGAATGGGACGGTCGAGCCGATTTTACCATGGACGGACCATTTGGGGGAGCTTTATCGTTCATCGAGACCCTGCGTATGTGCATATTCCGGTTAGCCAATCAATAGGAATTTGACCTTACTAACTTCTCCAAGATGCCAACCGAAATCTTCTCCTTCTTGGGGATATCCAATTTCGGGTCGATTACCTTTCAGAGCGCTTAGATTCGATCGAGATGCCTGTGGACTGGTTGACGTTCAATTCGACACGCTGGCGACGACATATCCTAGACTATCCTTACATCTTCAGCCCCGACACGCTTGTTTCCTTCTTTCGTTCCATCAATTTTGCCCGGATGAGTCGTATGTTCGAAGAGTCGAGTTCATTAAAAACTCGCATGAGTGCTATTGTCGATCCCGGCAGTCTCATTACTAACCCCCACCACAAGATGGTTTTACAAGATCTTTTGAGAACAGCTTCATCGAAATACCTAGTCCTCGAAATCGGCAGGAGTAATGTCGCCCGAGATGCCTTCGACCAGCTATGGAGACGAGAGAAACGGGAACTTCTTCGCCCGCTAAAGGTGCACTTGGGGGAGAACAGTGGCGAAGAGGGTTTTGATTCCGGAGGTGTCCAACAAGAGTTTTTCCGATTGGCAATTGCCGAGTGCCTAGATCCCGAATATGGTGCTTTCACTATTGACGAACGGACACGCATGGCCTGGTTCACCCCTGGGTCATTGACCGAAGATTGGAAGTACGAACTCGTGGGCCTTTTGATGTCGCTCGCCTTGTACAATGGCCTGACGCTGCCTATCACTTTTCCGAAGGCCCTTTACCGGAAGCTGCTGGGCAAGCCGGTTGAAGAGCTTCACCACATCGCCGATGGTTGGCCAGATTTGGCAAGCGGGCTGACAACATTACTGGAGTGGGATGAAAAGGATGGGCTCGTCGAGGACATTTTTGCCCGCACGTACGAATTTTCAGTTGAGTCTCTCGGTACCGTTGTGACACGAGATATGAGGATGAGCGAACAAGCGGGCTGGCCCAAAGCAGCCTCAAGCTCGTGTGATATTGCACCACCACACATGGATAACCCAGATGACGCTCCCCTTGTTACCAACGAAAATCGGGACGACTATATCATCGATTACGTCCGTCACCTCACGGATGTTTCCATTCGACGACAGTATCTCGCTTTCGAGCAAGGGTTCAACTCTTGCCTCGATAGAAAGTCACTCTTGCTCCTGAGTCCATCCACCTTACAATCACTCGTTGAGGGTGTCCAAGAAATTGACATCATCGAATTGAAGCGGTACGCGCGCTATGTGGGCTGGGATGCTTCGCATCGTACCATTAAAGACTTTTGGTCCATCGTCAAGAGGTACGACGAGAGAATGAAACAACGCCTTCTGGAATTTGTGACATCGTCCGACCGCGTTCCTGTTGGCGGCATGAAGAATCTGCAATTTGTAATACAAAAGAATGGTGAAGAAGATGGCGCGGGTGGACACTTGCCAACAGCATATACCTGTTATGGCACACTTCTTCTACCAGAGTATAGAGATAAAGAGGTGTTAAGAGAGCGGCTTGGGATGGCACTTGAGAATGCTCAGGGGTTTGGCTTTGCTTAATGGGGCGTTTTTCATGGGGTAACGTATGGAATCTGTAAAGCTTTGCATGGGTAGCGTCCTGGTTCTGTACGCTTAGCAGGCAAGTGGAGAGAAAGCATGAGTGACTTTAAAAATAGCATATGAAAGCGTCTAATGATAATGCTCAGTTTCAAGCAATGTAGTAGAACTTGCCACGAGAAGCAGTATGCTTTAAACAAGATCATCGAATAGATAGATCTTCGTCTGCTAATCTCGCATTTGCCTAACATTTAGGTTGATTCTCTTATTTTTCATCCATCCTCGCCAATCCGCAAACTTCTCATCGCCACGGGCTGGCCAATCTTCAAGATAACTTGGGCATGTATCCTTCAGCACTTTAGGCACTCCATGCCAGGCATATCTCGACTCCTGTGTCATATAGATGGCATCCCCAGATCTGAGCCTCAAGAGCAGATACGGTTTCTCGCCTGGTGTTTCATTTTGAGACCCTTGTTTGAAGTCATTCGGTGCAATCATAAAGAGTCCATCACAACCGAAACTCAAACTGATAAGTCCCTTATCTGTCTCCTCGCTGACATCTCGGTGCATCATCATTGTATCGCCTGGCGTGTAGAAGTTGAGAATGGCGGCTTGGGCGACAGTTTCGGGGAACAGGTCCTCAAGCATGTGTGAGATATCATCTGGAAACTGAGGAGGTAAGTCCTCGGGGTAAACACGATTGGTCCAGTCGTACTGGCCTCCAAGCGTTACCCAGTGCAGTTTTCGCTGCATAACCTGCTTGATTGACAGTGGCTTATGAACGCTGGGGTCCTTTGGGAGAAATGATGCCGGTGTTTCTGGACTGATAGAGAAGAATGACCTTTCATCGTCGTCCTTCCCTTCTGGGTATGGAAGGTTGTAGTGTAGATGTAGATTGGTCTGATGGTTCTGGACACTGAGATCACGATGGATCAGACGATCCAGTAGATCCTGTTGCACATTCTCGGGCACAAGTGAAGGAAGAATCAACAGGCCTATGGTTGTGTTAAGTTTTTAACATATCGAGTCCAAGGAGTTCTATGTACCTGGTATCAATGGGTGGTGTATAACTGGAACATCCTTCTCGACCTGTAAGGCAAAGTCAGGGTTGAGGTGAGCGAAACTTTTTGCAACCTGCTCTTTCGAAAGACTCGAAACTTGACGAAAACCAGACTCTTCTAATGGAGCGCGAGGGTCATCGATTCGAGGATCGTTAAGCAGACTTTTGTGATCTTGACGCATGTAGCTCTTCCACTCAGCGCGCATCTCATCAGATGGCTGCTCATGGGCGTCGATCTCAGTAAGGTTTGCTGATACCATTCTGGCGATGATGATGGAAACTAAAAGCCTATACTTTTAGTACGTCAGCCCTTTGGATAGATTCCCTTGGAAAAGACTCACGAGGTTTGTGCTTCTTGTAGGTACCTAGGCTTTTCCTTGGCCTGCTTCAGAGTCGAGGGTATTCTACTTGTTCTCACAGTCATGATCTAGAAATCTGGTGGACCACTCGGAGAAGCACGTGACATCTTCAAGCTCATCGCAGACCTCACATTTCTCTTTGGTATGCAGTTATTGACATTTTCTCCTCGATTATCATGTTTTTTTATGTACTCTATCATTTTGCGCTGCTGTCTTATGGAAATGCCCCTGTTGTTTTGGGTGTGCAGAACTGGGACGAGAAACCCGTTTGACGAAAATTCTCATTTCTAAGTTACCTAGCTCCCACACTACCTATACATTTGCCCATTTAATAAAGGTCACCATGACACTACTGCGAGTCTTTCCAGCAAATCGGCTATCTTATTTATCATCATGCTCCAAGGTTACCGGGCAGAAAACTCACTTCAGTACGTCAGGTCAGATGAACCTGCGTCAACGACCACTACGCCGAGCTACAAGTCGGATTTCCAATCAAGCACATCAAGGCAGTCAGGCAACTTCACCAGTTGCAGTCACACCGAACTTAAGTTACAACGTGAAGGCTGAGGAACCCAGAAGCCAGTCATCTGCTCAGGAGATTGTCGTGCCAGGCTTTTCTCTCCATGAGAGTACCTCGAAACCACGAAAGGCAAAACCGAGAGGACCATTGCCTAAGGGAATCAAGCCTTATCAGCAGGTATTAATGGAGAGTGAGTCGATCTGTTTCAAACAGGGCTCAACTTCGCCAGTCGATGTACCGAAAGAAGACAAGCCTGCTCTGGCAGCAGCAGGAAAGTTCTTTGAAGAACGCTATCAGATACTCTACTCTGCCGAAAACCTTCATGACCACCCCCAAAACGACCACATCCCAGAAATTGTTGTACTGGGTGCCTCCAATGCTGGGAAATCATCTTTCCTCAATGCTCTTCTTGGTGATCGGGAAATAGCCAAGGTGAGCCACAAACCAGGCAAGACTACGACGATGAATGCGTATGGTGTTGGGCCACGTCCCAAGATTGCCAAGGAGCTCATTCGCAAAGGCGATGCCCCGCCAAAGCACAGTCTGGTGCTTATGGACACCCCAGGCTACGGATATAGAAGTCAACAGGCCTGGGGACAGACTATCCTGAAGTATCTCAACGTCAGGAACATGCTTCGTGGCGCTGTTATCTTGATACCGGCCGACAAGAAGCTCCAGGAAACGGATAGATGGATGCTCAGAACACTTGCTCAATCTAACACTCGAACGTTGGTTGTCATCACCAAAGCGGATAAGCCTGGAAAGGAGTGGCAAGATGCATGTCACAGGCTTCATGCTCAGATCGAAGCCATCATGCGCGGTCTAGAGGCCCAATCAGCTGCCTCTTGGAGAGAAGGGTCTGGGCGTGTGCTGGATGTTTATGCCACAGCATCCAAAATTGCCTCCGTATCCCGCCGGCTTGGTGATGGAGGTGGCATTGGGGGCGTAAGACTTGCGATACTGGAGATGGCTGGCTTTTCTCTGGGGGACAAGATAGAAAAGCAAGCCGAGACAAAGGCTTATACCGGGAAGGTCGTGTCTTTTGATAATATCGTTTGGAGATCATGAGCTTGGGTGTCAAAACCGAGTCGACTCATATATGTATTATCTTGCTCTTGCTCATTGTACAATATCTGGTTCGACAGGATCAAAATACTTCATATGTAGAGAGGCAAGTTGGTGCGAGGGCCAGCCCCGGCTTTCATAATGTATTAATACAGCCCTGAAGGGGGTAGTTGCCCGTCTGTGTCTTGCCACTACCTATGCTAATATCACAACTCTGGTATCATCAAATGTATTACAAACAAATGCAGAGACTCTACTCATCATTCCGCCTGGCCTCCATTTGATTTGGCCGATTTTGTCGAAGTCGCAGTTCCGGGTCTACTAATGGACTTGCTTATCGAGTGCCTCAGCTTCCTGCTCCCTTTCGTATCAAACAAACTCTTGACTCTCTTCAACCTCGCCCATCTCTCCTTATCTTTTACGTCTCTCTCTCTCTCATCTTCTTCGACATTGTCAACACCTGCCCCAACGGAACCAGGGGTCTGAATTGGTCTGTTGATGGAAGCGGCCGTTCCAGGCCTCTGAGGTGTAGATGGTGCTCCCATTGATCGTTCCGTTCGCGGTCTCGCAGGCGAACGTCCCTCATAAACACTGCGAAGATGTGCTTCATTTGCGATGGTTCGCACCAGCACCTTCCAGCCTGGCAAGTCCTGCCCAGCAGCCTTCTGGGAATGTGCCTGCTTCTGGGTCTCAGAGTTCGCCCATGGACAGAAGAAGCGATGCTCTCGAGCTGGGTCCAAGAAGTCCATAGGGGCCGGTACCAGAACCTCATTATTCTCACCCACTTCCTTGCTCTTAAACATCCACAATCCTAGTCGCCTGAGACAGGTATGGCATGATGCCGAGTTTGGCACTGCACCGATACGAGCGTTATTGAGGCCTTGCCATCCCATCAAGGCAAGCGATAGTGCGACCCGGTTTGGCTGAGCCTCCGCCTCCTTTGCTGGTGGGGGCTTGGTGAAGAAGTCGTTCGGTAGATGCGAAAGAACATTGTCCAAGTTTAACTCCTCTGGCAGTCGAAGATTGAACTCATAGGGCAAAAATGATTTTCGTGCTAGCAGCTCATCATAGCGCTCACGTAAAGCCGCAAGACTCGTAGTTGCATTGGTTAAGGACAACCGGAGAAGGAAATCTGCAAACAAGGTCAGAAAACAAAGACGATATGCGCTTCCGACGAGACAACTTACCATCACAGCCCCGCTTACGCCAGAGACAATCGTCCTGGTGTGAAGTAACAATGAGATCGGCATACTTGTCTACCAATGCATCCTCTACTGAAGGTCAGCGCGATGATAAAAGGCCAAGGGGTGAGAACCTACCTATCTCAGATGCCACAAGAACAGGAACCTCCTTTCCATCCACAACCTTGCGATTGAGTTTAACAACCAATTCTCGATGGCAGAGAAGACATCGAACAGTTTCCTTGCCATGGCAAACCCATCCACGCTTTGCCCATTCTATCTCGTTCACTTTGTCCGGCTTTGGAGTCCAGTCTGTTATTTCTTGGAACGTGCCGAGCCTTTTCAAAAGGTCTTCTCGATCGGTTGGTGCATATCGCGCGGGTGCCCCTGTTGATCTCTTGGACGAGTCTTGTGCTTGTGTACGTCGGGAAACGATGGCAGAGAGGGTCGCAGATAGGTTTGTTTTTTTGCCAGCTCTGGGTGCCGTTGAGTCCGGAAAGCCTAGTCTTCGACGCTTTTGAAGTAATTCGGCATCTGCGCCGGATAGACGAGTTTCTGAGCCAGGAGAAGTAGTTGAGCGATTTGATGGCGAGCCGGTCTCGTGCGCCGACGTGTCGTTAGCGGCTTTCGCGCTTGATGATCCTAAGCCCTTCAATAAGGTATTGAATTTCCGTTTCGTTGCGTTCGTTGACATATTGCGAACGTGGCCAGGCACTTTGTTTCGGTCCGCGGGTTTCGGCTGAGGAACGCGGTCTGTATATTTTGCTCAACGAAGACGGGATTTGGTTAAGGTTTGTATTGTTACAACAACAATTCGACAAGAGGTGATGATGTTGTAGCTTCAGCAGCTTTCCTCTGGTCGCTATGGTACCAGCAGCGTAAGTAGCCTACCCCTGGCTAGCGTGTATCGAAGTAGCTGAGTTAGTGGTGAGAGCGGCTCTGGTTGTGTACATCCACAGCAACCCCTGTCATCCGTAACGGATTTACTTCTGTGTCAACGGCGGCTCTAGATGCAACTTGCTAGGTCAAAGTAGTCTTTGCCTATTCAGGAGCCTATCGATAAGAATTAGAACGTCAATAACAGGACAGGCCCCCACCATCGATCCACCCGTCCACAGAAATTTTTCTGTAGCCAGTCTTTGTTCAGCGCGAAGTCCAAGAAATATTTGTATCAGTCCCCGATACTCAAACAATTTCTTGCTGTTTGCAATTGCCCGGGCTTCATTTTCTTGCATTGGCGTATGTCTGGCTCCAACCAAAGCCCTCCCTCGTGGCTATTCTCCAACAACCCCCTGAATCCAATCAAACCTTCAACCGACACGATGGGCAAGAAGAGCACAAAGGCCCCTGCGCCCAAGAACGATGCCGCATCCACGCCTCCCCCGGGTCAGCTCATGGACTTGGTAGAGAGTTTCCTCTCTGACCATTCTTTCAAGGGCGCTGCCGACGCCTTCAAGAAGCAGAGAGAGAAGAAGGGCTGGAAAGCGACTGCTGCCACCGACGAAGAGGGTAATCCTTCCCTTGTCAGTGTTTACCAGACTTGGGAGGCTACCCAGGGCGACGATAGTAGCAAATCCAGCAAGTCCAGCAAGAAGGAGTCCTCTAAGAAAGACTCCAGCAGCTCTGATGGTAGCGACTCTAGCTCTGATTCAAGCGACGCCAAGGAAGAAGATGTCGATATGAAGGACGCCGAGTCTTCCTTGGACAGCGACAGCGACAGCAGCTCCGATAGCGACAGCGACGAGGAGGCTGCCAAGCCTAAGGCCTCTAACACGCTGAAGCGAAAAGCTCCGGTCGACGACAGCTCCTCTGATTCCTCTTCCGACTCTGATTCTGACTCGAGCTCCTCCGATTCCGAATCTGAATCGGATAAACCCAAGGCCAAGAAGCAGAAGCGCGCTGCTTCCTCGAGCTCCTCCAGTGACTCTTCTTCCTCATCCAGCGAATCCTCCGACTCAAGCGACTCCTCCGATTCTAGCGATAGTGATTCGAGCAGCGACTCAGACGACGAGAGCGCCAAATCGGACTCTAGCTCTTCTAGCTCCGATTCAAGCTCTGACTCGAGCTCAGATTCCGACTCCAGCGACTCAGACGACGAGGCTGCTGCCAAGGTGCCACTTCCCGACTCCGACAGCTCCTCTTCGGACTCCGACTCCGACTCCAGCGACTCTGAGTCTGATGCAAAGGAGACTAAGAAAGACAAGAAGATCAAGAAGGAGAAAGAAGTTAAGGACTCTTCCGACTCTTCTGTTACGCTAGACAAGACTTCGCCCGAGTTCCAGTCAAACTCTGCTTACCCACCTCTTCCCCCGGACCCCGTTATGAACGGTAACGGACGCAAGAAGCAGAACGAGCCTTTCTCCCGCATTCCCAAGAATATCAAGGTTGACGCTAAGTTCGCTTCCAACGAATACGTCTCTATCGCCTATTCCCAAAAAGCTCACGAGGATCTGATCGTTACCAAGGGCAAGGGCTTTACAAAGGAGAAGAACAAGAAGAAGAGGGGCAGCTACCGCGGTGGTGCCATCGACATCCACGATAAGAAGGGCATCTACTTCGATGATTAAATACCTTTTTTGAAAATTATTGTTTGACAAGGTCAAAATCGGGGCAGGATGAAGTATCGTTTGTTTAGAATAGCCGGCGTTTGGAACGTGACATGGTCACCACCAAAGATACATAGATTCATTCTACTGCAGTCCTAGGGGCACTATCCATGTTTATTAGACTTTTTATTCCAAGACATGCTTATAATTTCAAAAATCTCAGGGTATCTATATGTCCAACTTCAATCTACACTCAAATAAGTCGTTATACATCGTGCCTTAAAGAAGGGCGCGTCTCGTCAATATCCAGCGTATATATATAATCCATTGGTTTTTAATCCATCACATGGATACTCCAGATTTGCCTACCCCCATACACCAAAAACCTCGTCTGACTCATTTGCCAGCTATAACTCGCTGCAATCTTCGTCCTAAAATGTCGTGCGGTCCTTTTCCGCAGGAGAATTCTGAACTTCGACCGCAGGCGCATGTTGCGCCGCTTCGTCGGGAATCTCATCTGCACTGAGGTTCTCCTTCATGATAGCATCCTTTCTGGCCACTGAGTCCCATGATCTGTTGCCGTCCTTGGCATTCTGTAGAGCTTCCTTGAGCCACTTATTCCATTGTTTCGTACCTGGAGCCGCTCCACTGCGGCCAACCCAGCCAGTAAGTTGAGTCTCGCGGATAGCGAACCACAAAGTACGTGTGAAACTCGGGTAGCCCTCTCGTTGGTCATTCACGTCTGTGATCTCGTTTGCATTCTTCGCATCTTCAGGGGTTACGTCCTGCCATTGGTATCGCGAGAGATCCCAAAAATATGATCGAGGGATCATGCCTAAGCCCCAATACAGTCCGTTGAGAACGATGTAACTCCCACCAATGAAGATCTGAGAGTTCCATGTGCAGTTTCCGAGAAGCACGACGCTTAGCATAAGAAGAGTAGTTCCAAGAGCCATGAGAAGCCGATATGTGCGGCCACCAACATGATAGTGACACTCTTCGGTCCCTGAGTACAACTCTCGGGCAACCTCTTCTGTGCACTTGATGAGTAGAAACGCGCCTTCCCGTGTTCTTATCATGACATCGCCTCTAGGGACCTCATTGGTATGTTTGCGATTCATGAGAATAGGATGCCAGATTGAAGCATAGCCCACCACAGTCGACGCAAAGGATATCAGGGAAACAGCCAGGATGGCATTTCCATCTTGCCATATCACAGCACACGTGATGATTGCTATGCTTAGAAGGCACGAAAAGACTGAGAGAATGTGGATAGGCGAGAAGAGCTTGGCTGGGACCGCAGGACGTCTCTTCGTGTTGGCAAATGTCGGGTTGGCAAGCATGTCTTGGACTTTCTGCTTAGCGGTAGGACGGCGCGCGAGCGGTTTGGGGGCATCCGCATTGCTTGGATAACAGTCACCGGGAGGACGAAATGTTGTTGTTCGTGCTGTGTTTGGTAGAGGAAGCCCACCCTCTTCTACATGAGGGGCTCGGGGGATTCTGTTGCTTTGGGATTCTTTTTCATTTGGCAGTTTCTCTGTGGTGTGAGAACTTGAGCAACGAGATTTGACCCAATTCAGACTTCGAGTAGACCAGCTTTCTTGGGCAGAAGGAGGATTCATATCAATGTCGCCAAAAGAAGGGTCCGTATGAGTGATCTCAAGCACGCGGAAGCTGAATGGTTGTAGGGCATCCAAAGGAGTAATTATCGTGGCAAAGAAGCCCACGGAGTCGAGTGTGGTTCCACTATACACACCCGTCATCTTTGCCAGTGTCTCAGGCATTCGACTTGGACGTGAAGGCTTGAGCAGAGCCTGAGGGGCTGGGATCAGTCGAGGTAGCAGACACAGCAACGATGCCGTGATAGTCTGAGTCTGTTCAGCCATAGAGGATTCTCCAATGACCGCAAGAAGCGTCACGACATCAAGTGACCAATTGGCCTTGACGTTGGGAAACCATTTCCAGCCTGGGCTGCCAGGTTCAGCCATCCTGATGGTATGTCAATATGGGAGGAGAAGTATCGAGGTTTAGCTGTCAAGAGGTGTGCGTATAACAAACGATATCGCGGGACAATAAATGAAAAACAACTCCAAAAGAGGGCAAAACGTGAGATACAAGATTCAGAGCAACATGATGGCAAAGTGAAGAGAAACCAGAATTGAAACTCGGGGGTTGTCAGTTAAATCACATTTGGTAGGGAGTTTCAGCCCTCTTGACATAAACGGTTAACGAGTGGATCGATCTCTAAACCGCTGCGCCACGGCGGCTGCACCCGCTCCCAAGCTTTCCCTCCCCACGTCTCAGCTGAACCAGGCATATAATAAATGTGTGCATTTAATCAGTATACATTTTGGATAAATTTCATTTATGATTGAATCCAGATTGGCTCCGTTTTTAGGTTGGGTTCCAGACATACTTTCAGCAATTCTTACTGTGCTGAGTCTCACCAAGTACCCTACAGCCGCCGCCAAGAACGTCCCAACAACCAGCAGTTCAGGCCGAATAGCTCTGTGTAACAGGGCTGTGCGATTACGGTTCATCCAATGGATGGACTGACCAATGTCTCGTAGGCGTCCTGTGTCGTACGACCTCTACATCGAAAAGGGCTGACGAATTATGCAAAAGAGTTATATAATTAGGATCATCACATTTCCTCATCCTCCTCTGGATCTCAAAGCTGTCTCTATGGTCCTCCAAATCATTCATCTATCGTCGGTAATCTCAAAAAGCCATCCTAAACGCCGTTCCAGGAGGTAAGTAAAGCATAGTGGCTGTCGCCTTCTTACCATTCACCAAACTCCGAACTTGTCAACAAATCAACCGCCACGTTAATCATCAGTAGCTCACTCGCTTCGTAACAAAATACTGCCCCGTCGAGCCGTATTATCACACAGCCTTCGGCTCCTCGTCATATTCTTCAATCATCCACTTGATGAACTCTTTCCACTTCTGCTCCCAGTCGCTGAATACGCGGTTGTATTCAGACTCTGATAGACAAGCGTGCTCCAAACTCCACAACGCCAATTGCTTCCAACCAAAAAGGCCCATGTCAGCCTTACCAACCAATACTTGGTAAAAGTCATGAGACAGGGAGGATCTTTCAAGCTACGTTAGCATTATTCGTTTCATGTTCTGCGGGAAGCACTTTACCTAAATAGTGTGCCGTTATCTGAGCTGACCGTGCAATGCACATTGTTGGCAAGAAGCTGATACATTGTGTGACCGTTGACACGAGGCGTGAGTCCCAAGATCTCATTTGAGATGGGACACAGCTCGAGGCAAACACCGCCCTCTTTCATATGCTGCATCACGTAAGGGTGCTTAGCCAGCGCAAAACCATGCCCAATTCTCTTCGATTTCAACAGGAGCGCGTCAACCAGGTTGCCGTCTGTATCGGTTCCCATATCTAATGTCTCACCACAGTGAAACAGAAATGGAATTTCAACGCCGTCTCTATCGCAATCCTCCTGGAACTTCAGTAGCTCGGGGATGAAGTCCTTGATGGGGCGCCCTTTGGACTCTTCACCGACGAGGTCGAACCCTACTTCGTTGTTAGGATACAACTTTGGGGGAAATGCGTTCTCTTACCTGCAATCCACTCAGGCCACATCTGTTTAAATTTAAGACACTCTTTGAGAGCGGCATCGATCTGCGCTGGCGCAAATGATCGAGGTGTACAGTAAATCACTTTCAGACCACCAAAGAACTTTCCTTGCTTTTTCATATCGGTCTGGAAGTTTTTGACCTCTTCGATTATCAGTTCCATGATGCCCTTGTTGTCGATGAGTTGAGTGCCGTCATCGGTCCAAAGTTGGTTGCTGGTCATGAAGTTGGGCCGAATTTCAGCGTAGCTGATGTTGTCTTTCATAAAATCCTCCAGACATAACCGAGTGTATCTTCGGTATGCTGTCGCATAGTTGAAGAGGCCCTTCATCATACGTGTCCGCCCGTTGAACTTTTCCCAAGCCCTATGCTACGTTAGTGTCTGCATACAAAAGCTATAGATCGTGAACGTACCCAGATGCTGTCTGCAAATGATTATGCGCCTCCTCTTCGTGAAACATGAGTTTCTCGAATAGCCACTCATCAACATTGGTGGAATCTTTTGCATAATATCCAGGGAACCTGTCAAGAAAATCTCTAAACCGCATCGTCTGCCGAGGTTGATATGTCTCTGAAAACAAGTCGCCAGGTGTTTCCTTCTCTGGGCTCAATAGAGAAAATTGGATTTCACATCGATCGAAATTAATAAAATCATTGTCCGAAACAAGGGGTATATCGCTGGTGATAAACATCCGGTCCATCTCCTTTGCAAGATTGAGCAGGACTTGTGGAGCAAGACAGGCGTTGAAATGAATGTGCAAGTGACCGCCCTTGGGCATATGTTTCGCCACGCGGAACAAGGACGTTCGATCGATGAGATGCTTGTTCGATAGAAAATGATCTCCGGGGAAACGAGGGTGCTGCTGGCCGCCATAGCCTGTTCGTGGTGCGGCCTGAGCATATACATTTTCCTCATCCTCACTCCTCAATCTCTGGATGATAGCTTCCGCTCGCCTCTCTTCAGGTGTGCTGCGCATGCGACAACTATGGTCAAAATCCAGAGCCTTCTCCCGCGCTACCATTTGTTGTCGCAACTTGAAATACTCCTCAACCACTCCAGGCTCTTGCGTCACGGCATTAGTGACGTCTGTTTTTTCGATAAGAACACCTCGTGCCAAGATCTCAGCATCATGGGCCTGGATGTGATTTCGCGCAGCCGCGGCATCATCCAGAGCTGGCTCTCCCATCCGAGAAATCTTTGCGCGTTTTGATAGACGAGTCATAAAATCTGTATGTGAATGATGTTTCCTATGGTGCTGGTCGTAATCGTCCTGAGCTCCTTCCACCGGCTCTGTTCTTGAGCAGAGCGCGCCCATTTATGTTAGAGAAGCGAATAGCCAATGCCTGTAAGATTGGCCAAGTTGAGAGGTAACAAAGGAAGCTCCAGAGGCAGCAGAGGCGCAGTCATTCACGGCTCGTCTAAGAGTAAGAGAGCCGTGGCTGTTTGCGGTGAATGACTCCAAACTCGATAAAGCGCGGCTCACAAGCCAGAGCCAGGTGATGGTCATTAGGTAGCCAACCGTGGGCGGGGACAATGACCAGTGTCAGTCAGTAATGTGGTTTCGCCAAGGTACTATGGATGGATGGATGGGCTTGGGTCCGTCCGTCTTTGTCTCGTGAGGGAGCTGTTGGTTGACGGGGAATCAAGTAGATAGATATTCCTAGACAAACGCTCAGCTCTCACTCAGCTTAGACTTCTGCTGCTTGGAAGCAAAGTCGGCAGTTTCATGTAATCGATCAACCAACCAACATGAAATTTGTTGTTGCTTGTTTGTTACAAGTTACAAAGTCTGGGGGGGCAGTGCCCTTGCCTGAATCAAGGCTGAATGAAGGCTGACCCCAAAGTCCCCGACCTCGCTATAGGCAATAAGGGAAGATCAGGCACAGAGTCAGCCTGCGCAAGCGCTGGTTCGCTGCATTTGAGTGACTGCAGCGACTGGCAAACGCACTAGTCTCATTTCGGCTCCATCTCACAGGCCTAAGCGCTTAGCCAATGGAACCTCAATAATGGTACCTGTCCACCTTCATCTCACCTCACCTTAGTACTAAGTAAGGTAAGCCCAATATATTGTTCAATTATTAGGCCAAAACAATAACTAAGATCAGAAACGCCTCATCGGGCTTCTAAGGAAAAGACAGAGCATGAGATACCGGTGTCACCCAGGGTCCTGGGCCTCAGTACTAGGGTACGGTGTTAGGTCTTACTTGAGCATAACTTTGCACCTTTGCTTCAACCACGTCATTTATACACTTCAATTTGTTACAATCGTGTTTGTATCTTTCATTTTTTTCTCACAACAAGGCCAAAAAAACCCCTTAAAGGGTACTGCAGCTAAAAGACTCTGATATGATGTATCCATTTCGATGCACATCCTTTGGCCTATAGTCAAGGGAATCTTCTATTGCCGATGCCAGAGATGGTATTAATACCTGAATCAAGGGGCTTGCAAGTCTTTCCCCCACTCCCGAACCTGTTGCATCATATACAAGCTCTATCCATTTCGCCTTTTATCATTCAATTCCTACCCATAGTAAGGGAAGCAAGATAACTTAGGCCCTCTATCCTAGGTGCTGAAAATATCTAGGCAACTCTAGCTCAAGCTTAGAGGGTCTCAAGTTTTCTCGCCCCCTGCGGCCATAGTAAAAGTACACAGCCCGTGTGGGCTTGTACTTGTTCAGCTTCTTCTTTCGTCATCCGTGGAGTCTGAGCCCAGTCTCATCTCATAAAGAAGATGGTACCCTCAGGCAAAGTAGCTCTTCCAGAGTACTCCCTCAAGGTCCTCCAATTGTTCTGATGTGAAGTACTGGGCAGTTTTTAGTAATAATTTCCTCTATATCATCAGAAGGGGGCATACCTTTTGATCAACTGCCCAACTGTCCTGCCGCGTCTTCTTGAATTCGCTCAGAATTGTCTTTGTCGCTTTGCCGACAACTCCAGGGTCAGCAGCAGCCTTGCGTGCCAGCATTGCTAGTACTTCAGGCATCCATTCTGGTGGAGGGGTTGCATAAGGAAACGCCTCGATTAATGCGCCTAGCCCAAGGATTGCAGCATGACGTCTGGTGATTTGCTTGTGGATATCTACTGGGGTATCTGTCCCAGCAAGATGGCGGTTTCGCTTCGGCATGGGGTTGCGTTCCAATTCATCCTCAAAACGGGCCTTGAGACGTGCAATAGTAGGGTCACGGATACGGCGAGGGGAGCAGCGTATCATGCCTGCTAGCGTGGTAGATGCACAGGAACGCACCTCTAGCTGTGTATCGCACAGCATGTCAGACACAGCTGTAAAAAGCGCTTCTCTTTGGACGCCTCGCGTAAGGAAAATACGCCTAAAGTAGATGACCTGCATGTTGACCAGGGCTCGAAGCCGCTGGTGCCAGCTGCTCGACGTCTTTCCGATGCGGATGAGTGCATCGATGAATTCTGTGTCCTCACCATCCCGGAAAGGAATGTTGGGCAAATGGCGGTATACGTGATAGGCAAGCCTCATGAGCTCCGGGTCTTCCTTGACATCCATCATGTGTAGTAATTCTTCCATAAAGGGGGTGGGGAAGAAAGGCACGAGCTGAGTACACTCGTGAGATGATAGTGTACAATCGAGCCACATAAGAACGGTCTTGGAGCCCGAGGTATAAGAACTCGGGGTCTGCTGACCGGGTGTTCTCTCGTGTCGCCATTTCTCGAGTCGCTGGAAGACGTCTTTGATGGTGGCTGAGAACTCTTGCGTTGGTTGATAGGGCCTGATGCCTATTGGCGAAGCGGCCTTGTTTTGTTCTAACAGCTTGCTGACGTTCTCGAATGACTCGTGGTATCGAGTCTTATAGATGACTGATAACACGCGACCCATAGCCTCACGTACTGCCTTGTAGGGGTGATCGATGTGGGCGAGGAAGTCATCAAGAATTGCTTGGTCATGTCGGAAGTGCCAACCGCCGTCCGCAACAATGAACTCCAGAAGTTGAACCTTGGAGGATTCTTTGAAAGCGGCGTTTGATGTCATGTCAAGTCGGAACGCTCTGAGAGTATCTACAATCTCGTGCGATCGACGTGGGTCTTTGGAGTCAAGAACGAGGTGAAGACAAGTGAGCCAGTATTGCAAGTTGTCAGGTGTCAGGTCATCCGCAAAAATATTGAGCATGAACGGCGCAGCATACTCCCAAACGCGATTTCGGATTTCTGGGGGGTCATCACTGGAGCCCGCGAGCAAAGCGCCCATGATTTCCGAGGTCGCTCGATGCTGATGCTTGTCGTTGCCATCACCAAAGACCTCCTTTACCAGCTCCTTGACGTCATCCAGCGTGACTAATGTTTTGCCATAGTGCATCAGGTCAAAAACGTGCATCAATAGGTAGACATTGCTCATGCGGAATCTATCGGTCGACGCGTCTCGAGGTTCTTGCTTCAGATAGTCAAAGCATTGGGATAGCCACTCGCGATTCAAGATGCGGCCCATCTGATCTCGCACGGCAGTTTCGACATCATCGTATGCATTGAAAGGGAGAGGCTTCGCTCGGTAAGCTGTAAACTTCTTGCCCCATACTAGCCAACCAGGGTGATCAGCGTCCACCATATACTCAGCCCCTTCGGGCTGCTTGAAAGCCTCGAGGAAATTGTGGGTAAACTCAGCGTCACCTTTTTCGACAGCAACTTGGATGCGATTTCGGTCCCCAACTTCCTTCTCAACAAGATAATTGCGGTACTCATGGCCATAAACGGCTCGCATATCGACAGCTGTAAAGAGCGATGTAAAAGCGCTCAGATAGTAGCCACGAAGCCCGGGATGAGGGTCATTCGTACCCTGAGCAACGAGATCGATAAACTCAGGGGGCGCTAAGCTGTGGAATCGCAGACACAGGTTCGTGGCAAAGATTGCACATCGAGTAGCGATCTTCCAATGGGCACCCTTCGCACGCTCCGTCAATTCCAGACCCAGAGAAGACTTGGACGTCTCGACCCTCTCTCTACGTTGCTGAATAAATTGATGGCGACTATCAATAGCTGCAGCGACATCAGCAGCAGGCTTGATTAAATCCACAATTTCATCATTAACGATGATCATGCGCTCAAAGGGCTTGCCGAAGTCAATGAGAGTGTATAACGCTGACGAGCCCAGGTTTTGAATGGAAGGCTTGTCAATACCTGCAGTCTCGATATACAATCGCATGGCTTCAGGGGCGAAGCGCCAATCCCTGAGGAGAGTTCTCAAAAGAGACGTGAACAATAGAGTGTACATGCCTCCCTTGATTCGGTCATGGTCGTTCGTTTCAAGTGCTTTTCTGAGACGCTCAAGAATAACGGGAATCACCAACGGCTTGCCGCCAATAAGTGACTTCAAAGATGAGTCCTGAGCGCTCTGTGCAACCCGTCGTACATCAGCATAAAGCGAAAGACTCGATTCAGCAAGATCAAGCAGCAGCTGTTTGTCAAGCTCGCTCTTCTGCCGCGATGAGGCGTTATGTTTTCGTCGCAAAAGCTGATACGCCTCGGCGCGCTTGATGAGAAGAGGTCGAGGATAAACCTTCCTCAAGCCCTTGATCTTGAAGGCGGCAATGTCAGATTTGTATAGTCGAACGTGTCTCTCCAGGGGATGAGCAGAGCGCTCAATGCCAACATCAGTAATCCAGGTACGATAGGCGGCGTACAGGGCGGTGAATGAATTCACATCATCTTCCTGATTCTCGTTCAGGAAAGAGTGCGTTTTGGTCAGTAGATGACCTAACTCATCTCGTAGATCGTGGATTCTGCTATAAGCAGGGTCACTGGATTTGAGGGCATAGCCTGCCTTGTAGCGGAACTGAGGCCGGAGTTCCTCGTCCTCGGCAACCTCAGCAAGAGGGTCTTCGTCAATCATCATTTCGTCATCATCTTCACGCGCAACGTCGTGGTCTTCCTCTGTATTTCCGGTCATGATACCCGCAGCACGCTCAGGGTCGAACATGGTGGCCATGCCTGACGTGACCAGGCGGATTTGCTGCATGAGCCGAGAAACCTCGTCTGACCACTCCTTGTTCTTGCCAGTACGGCTCACTGGTGGGTTGTCGCTCATGAGTGATTCCAACTGATCTTTTGCAGACTTTGTTTGGGAAGCAAAGAGTTCCACGGCGAATTCGATCTCGGCAGGAGATGGCTGGTGCCACCGAATACTGAGATCGGCTGGGGCAGTTGTCTTTCCCCAGTCATCGACATCGAGGCCACGTTCGATAACCTCGGGCTCATATAGAGCGTGGTCGATGGGATAGGTGTGCGTCAAGTTGAGCAAGAGATGATGGATGTAATTGGAGACCAGAATGGTGGGCAGACCACGACATTTCTCTTGCA